ACAGTTTCATGCCATCAGTCCCTTTCTTGAGCCAACACCACTGGCTTTGTCTTGAAGGGCGACAAAGGCCAGCTCTTTCCTGGGGTGGGTGGAAAGACATCTGTGGAGGCTGGTTCAGGAGCAGGAGCCAGGACAGGAGAGATACATGCTCTCCCTGGTGAGAACTAAGAGCTACAGCAGCCCTGCACTCACACCACAGAGGAGCCTTGGAGCAGCCTGACCTCAGCCAGAGCAACTGCTGTGCCCTAATTCACAGCTAGGACCTGAAAACCTTGTGGGGAGAATTTTACAATATGCATCTTGGCAATAAACTGAGGATCCCAGTTCCATCCACCCCTTAAACACTTGAAACACGATTTTCTTAAGTCATTCTTCAGTGTACATTTCTTTTGTACCATCCTGCTGAGTGAACACAGGGGCACAACCACATGAATTTTACAGCTGTAGGACATCACTGTTAACAGGGAAAAAGACCTTCAAACTTTTTGCTTCAAAGCCACAAATCCTTGGTCCCCATCTTTCAGAGTTTGTAATTATCTTTGCAGTGCAGTGGTTCTCATGTTCTCTGCAGCCATTTCACGGCATCACTGCCAATCTTAATAACAGAGATCTAACAGGCTACACAACATTGCAATTTATGCTTTAACTCCAAGCAGTAATATTTTCTCTAGTTAAGTGGAAATGTTTAGAAAAACTGCAAGACTGCAGCAGTTAACTGCATAAAGTTAATAGGTTAACTGAGATAGAAACTCATTAATTGATTAACCCAGAACTATAGATGGAATAATGTCACTACATCACAAGGAACATTTAAGTCAAGAATAGCATTTAAGTAGATTTGCAATTCTTAAATTCCTGTGATTAACAGATTAAAACAAATTATGCTATTAGCATGTTAATTATTGCTTGCCTAAAATACTGATGATTAAAACCAAGTTTTAAGAAAAAAACACATCCCAGGACAAATACAAAGGAGAAAAAGAATAATTAATTATTCAGAGTGCTATTGGCTGCTAAAAATATAATAATAACAATAGCAAAAATATATATTAATAGTAGGAAGAATAGTAACCATAAAAAGATTTCTCTTAAGAGTTAGGGACACAAATTTTCCAGTGTGAAATAAAGAAATCTACTGCATGACAAAACCAAGATATTGAATTTTTTCCAAAGTTGTGGCAGCAGTGAGAGACTCAAGCACTAATTAGTCATTTATGAACTCAGCTGCTGTGTAGGTGTATTCGAGATGGGTGATATACTGATACCATGTCCATGTCATGTTCCAAATCTGTTCCAACTGCTTAAAAAAAAGGACCCCACCAACCTATTAGAAAGCCACGGATGCCAATGAAGGCAGGTGTTCGGGGAGTATGAATCCTGTGTCTTCCTCTACAGTATCTCCTGCAGCCACATTTCTCCCTGCATAAAACAGCATTGCTGTGGCTCTCTCACTGCAGTTTCCAGACCCGTGGTAGGGGCTGCCTGCTCCTGTGCCTCCCAAGGAGGCTCCTGAGAGGTGTCAGTCATGACTAAGCAAAGCAAGCATGAGGACACACTAGTCACCTGCCCTGCATGATCACATTGCTCAATGGCCTCACCTGCTGAAGTCACCTGTAGGCCCCTGATACAGCATAGCTCAAAGATGCACAACAAGATCAGCCATGGAGTAGGGTTTGGTGACCACAGAAAGTCCTCTTCTCCTTTTTCAAGTTCCCTAAGATCCCCAAATCCTCATCCATGAGCTTAAATGGCACCGTAATATTTCCCAATAATGTCATAGAGCTTCTTCTGGTAACAGCACAAGATACTGAGATAGTATCACCTATTTTTAGTTCTGCTTATACTCAAGTTTCAGGAGTTTGAGTGACAGCTTTATTACATACTTGGTTTAAATATCTTGCCTAAAACTTGATACTGAGTAGCCTTGGTAACTTTCCTTTATTTATTTTTATCAAGGACCACTCTAGGATGGTTAGCCATAATGGAATACCAAAATAGACAAGTGGCAATGGTAATGACACCAACTGCTAATCTCTTCTTCACACAGGATTTACCAAAATCTCTTAGAAATTCAAAAGAGTTTTCCTGCTTAATGAACATGCCTCCAAAAATCTGAACCCTAAGAGTTATTTTTAGAGTATTACTCATGAGTACTGAACAACTAGAAATGCATTAAAGACAAAAAATACCAGTCCAAAACTAAACAAAGCAAACCACAATGAAAAAACAAACAAAAACCAAAAACAAACAAAAAAATCAAACCAAAAAAACCCCATAAAATGTGTTTAGTTACAAAACAACTTTAAAAGTGGTATAAAATTAGATACTGAGTTTGTTAGTCTGCATTCAGGACTATTTCAAAATCCTTTCTCACACTTCCACTGTACTTTCTTCTGCCACATGCTTTGCAGGGAAACACAAGTCACCAAAGTAACATCACAAAAAAGGGGTTAAGGGCAAGGTGCAAAACCTAAGGTGTCATAGATCTATCCAGATCAAGTTTGGGAGTCAACATGCAGCTAGGTCTCTATTCTGTAAAACATGAACTATATCCTTTTCACATAACAATCATGACAATCATGCTGTATGTCTTTTGGAAGGCTAACAAAAGGAGAAACAACAGCTGTAAAAAGAATGAGACTTAATTTGAGATATTTTCACAGAAATCTCCTCAGTAACATAATGTCAGACAAATGTTTGCAGTGCATTGTTCACTGCCTTTTTTGGTATTTGGAGAAAACATATCCTAATTCCTAATGTTCCTGCTGAATTTATTTCTATTTCTGAGAATTTTTATTAACAGCAGGTCACTACCCAAGCAGCAAAATGAAAATGAAGCAATGTCAGTAATATAGGAAAGAATAAGCAAGAAAGGTTAACTCCTGAAAATGTAGCATTTCCAAAGGAAAAACTCCATAATATGTAATGTTGGAGGATAAAAACTGAAAAGCTATTCAATTCAATTAGGACATTGGGAGAAAATAAAAGAATTTAACCCTATCATTCTGCCTCCTCCCTTTTCTTACAGCTAGGAGCCTGATCAGAGTTTAAAAAGTGGAATTTAAAAAATGTTGGTTAAACTTTCCTGAAATTAGAGAACATTGACTAAATATTCCTTTCCAAAAAAGCCTCAATTAAAAGCTGAGGTTTCTTTGAAAAGGCAATTTGAATTTTTTTTAATGGAAATCTAAATCTCTTGCAGAAGCACATCACCAGTAATAAGTTCTTTGAAAAGAAATTAATGAAAAGTGCAAATCTTTCTTGAATGTGTGTCCCATAATCATTACCTCCTTGCGGACACTTCCTGGTATAAAAAATGGCCACTATCATTAACAAAATTCCTTGCTACAACTTTATCAGTTCCTAACAAGAAGCAGCATTCTATTACATACCATTATTTAGCTATAAATTATAGTTTATCTTCATTCCTGTATTGGAAGCTGAGCATTTTAAAAGCTAACAACATCTAAATGGAAACAAATGAACGGCTACTTCTGACAAAATATGATGGTCATTTCAACATAACTTTTCCTGAGGGAAAAATACACTTTTCTACAAAAGGACACAATCAAATTAAATACTTGCTTTATTTAATTATTTTTCCAGGACAAACAATAGACATCATTTTAAGGGAACAGAAAAGCTCTATGGTAATTCTTGAATGCAAGCATGTAGAAATTTTTTTACTGTTGTAGCCAAAATATAAATAACTTTCTGCTGTGGTGTCAAGAGGTGTGTTGCACCAAATTAATCATGAGCTACTTTTAAAGAGGAACAAAAAATCCACTGCAAAATTAAACAAATCTCACTGTGCCTGTTTTCCATTTGCATTGTCATCACTTACCTTTAAAGGACGATGGAATTGAGATGGGAATGTTGCTGAAATGCATTCAAAGACTCTGTGTGTGTTACCTTCTCTAGTGCTCTCTGTTGTGCCTTCAGCCATTGGAAAAGATAAAGTATTATAACCTGCACACATCTTTACTCTTTGCCAGGCTGTTATCACAGGGATACACCATAGCAAAATAAGTGCAGAGGCACACAGACTACAAGCCAAGCTGTATGTTTTCTTCTAGCATTTCCCAGTTTCAGATGTATTCTGCTGGATTAGATGAAAGTATTTCTGCCTCATTATAAAAAAATAGGAAAGGCAATTCATAAGGGAAATTGAGTCATTCTAGAAAGTTTTTCCTAATAAATCAAATAATTCAGTGGATGTGCCCGAGTGGGGAAAGCTGGGAGTACAGAGATCAGGCAGCTCCATCCACAACCATACAACTGTGACTCAGCTTACTCTTACCTTTTATGTCAGGCAATCAAAAGAATAGACAATTGTAATACTGAGTGAGGGGTAAATAAACTCATGCCAATTAAAGAACAGAAAATATGTCTTTGTGGTTTAGACTGTAAGCATTTTCAAGATAAAAGAATTTTAAATAATTCACTCAGACAAGAATTCTAGATCCTCATCTGTCTTTCTTTTTGCCCAGGGCAGGACAGGCCATGCATGGAATTCTTTGTTAACTCTACCCTTTCAAACTCTCAACCCACAAACCACACCATCCAAGAGGCATTAGACAGATTTAATATCCCTACTTTAATAAAGTAATTTTCAAAATATTTCTGGGAAGATACACTTCTGTGGACCACTAGCAAGAGCAATTGAAGTCAGCCTCAACTTTACAACTGAGTTTGAAATCAGAGGGACTTTACAAAAATGTTTTGAAGTCTCTTCCCCCTCTTTTTTCAGTCTTCAAAAGTATTTTTTCTCTACGTTATCACAAATCTGTCTGCCTTTCTCACTGTTGGCTGCTCAGGACCATCTTCTTCTGATTCTGGACTCAGAAAACCTCCCATAATATAAGCCTTTCTATTAATTCTTAGCAAACATATCTCAACACATATTCAAGTGCTACCAAAACTGGGCTACTGAAACTACTGCATGGTTTTTCTCCTCATACAGTAATTTAGTATGTCCCTCCACAGCAAGCCACACTTACTGGTAAAATGTGGTATAATCCACTGTTGAATGACAGCTCTGGAACTCCCACGCTTTGAGTTTCTGGCATTCCCGGTGAGCTCGGAGTTTCACCCTGACTGTCCCATGACAGAGCTCAGGTACAGGATTTCTCTGCAAGCGGCTGCAGAACTCATTAGACTCCACACGCCAGGATTCAGCAAAGTCGTCCACATCAAACTTAAAATTCCCATCCCCCCCAATCAGGTCATCTCGCTTGTGCCCGTTGTAATTGCCACACAGACCACAGAGTTTGCCTTTCAGATGAGGTGCAGCCATGACTTCCACAAAACTGTCTCCATCCCATGAGATTTCCAAGCCTAAAGATAAGAGAAAAATGCACAAAAAAAAAAAAAAAAAGAGAGAGAGAAGAAGAAATTGAAGATAAACTGATAAACTGCACCTTATGTTTGTGAAACAGTGTTAACAGGAACCTGAACAAAGCCATTGGCTTAGTTCTGATAATGCCGTTAGATTTCTATATAGCTCACAGTAAGTGCCCCTGGCAAGTGCAGTGTTTCTTGAACTACAGTCAATTACAACACACTCATGCCTATGTCTTCTTATTTCTGTTCCTTCTTGCTAATGAATGGGGTTATCCAAAAAAATATAAAGCTGAGAAAGGATATCAATATCAAAGGAGGGCTCTTGCAAAATTCTGCAAATTGAATTTGCTATGGTAAATTTCTAGCTGATTTTGCAGAGGTCCCAGAATCTCAACCATTGTTACCCATTGCACAGGAAAGATGTCCATGACCCGTGACACTCCAGTCGTGACCTTATGGGAAACATCCTATTCTTGCCTACAAAGCTGACACTGATTTCTCATTGGGGTGAATACAACTGTTCCAATACAAGTTACCTTATTTTGTGGGAGTAAAAAGAGTTTAAAAGATTACAACAAAGATACATCAGATGCGCAAAACTGTTGTAAGAAAGCATTCTGAATTGGATTCAAACTATTCATTCAAAAGGCATCAATTGCAAACTTTTTGAAGTTGTCTGCATAAGTCAGCAACACTGAGAAATAATGGTTAACATCTAACCTTCCTCTAGTGGCTGGGATGTAAGCCCTGTGCTACAATTTGCTTTACAGGAAGGTTTGGCACTTCTGGAACATCAAAATCAAAGTTACCTTTTGTGAGTAAAACCCATTTTATCTGTCTGTACCTATCTAAACCTAGACATCTAGCTTAAGTCAGCTGTCCAGGCCTTTTGATAGAGTAAATTAGGCAGTTCTGGATCACAATAGAATTGTTTAACTCAGAAGGAATTAACTACTGTCTGAATATCTTTCTCTTCCCAGCGATACTCTAGAGAGGCCAGAGATCAGGTGGAGACTAAACTTCTAGTTTTTACCTGAGTGATTGTAAGTTAAATGATTCCATTCTTTGAGGAATAAATAGGCAGCTCATAAGGGAAAACAATTTTGATATCTTTTGGGATAAAAACAACACCAAGAACCATTGCTGCTTAACTTCTACCCCAAAATGGCCTTTCTTGTAATTCCAACATCTCCTGAATGGTTCTATGTCACATCTGCAGGAACCCTGCATCTGAAGATCCCAAATAATTTTGCTGATGCTAACTTATTCTCATAAAATACCTGTGAGCAGCCATTAGTTACAGATAAACACAGGATAATGCTTTTCAACGGGATAATCCAGATTTTACCCTGTTCCCCCTTGGCTTAGCCAAGAATACCAAAGAGCATCACTCTGCAGTGCAGGACTAGGGCTTCACTCCAGCTCTCTTCACTTGCTGTGTGGGCTGGCTTAGCACCACCCTTTCCTCTTGTAAATCAGTGCTTGCCACTGTGTGATCCAAATCCTTCCCTATCCTCATGTTAATAATCCATATTAATATCCAATTAACATACCATTGACTCAGTTCAAAGCTGGAACCCTTCCTTCAGCAACACATCCCATTGTCTCCTACGACAATTCCTACCCGCACTGCAGAGGAATAGGGTGAGGTTCAAGAGGAAATTATGGCTATAGAAGGGTGTGTCCATCTTAACATCCTGCCCCAGTGCTTGTGTTACACCATGTCTCCAAGAGTTTTGGGAATGATTTTCTCATCAAGGCTGTGAAGGTAATTCTGCATCACCTGTCACTACAGTCCATGACACTGTTTTCTTACCACCATAGGTTAGCAATGGTAATACAAATACTGAAAAAATAGTATCCTGAGCTATCTATGCCTGAAATCAGTTTCAAATTACCTCATAAGTGCAGCGTGGATGGGGCCACTGTCTCCCCTTCCAAATGCACTTTACACCCAGCCAACTGAGAAATTGTGCAAGACTACAACTGTTAATGAGGGCAGCACAGTGGCAAGGGGGAAAGCTGCCTTTTAAGCTGCTTCATTATCATTGCTGGACAAATTCAAAATCCAGCTGTCTTTGCTTCTGACAAAACTGAACAAAACAATCATAGCTTGATTTGCAGACACAAGATTAATACTGCTGTGCTGGCATATAAAAAATACTTGCCATTAACTTATAAACCAAGATTTCTTCAGACTTGAGAATCACATAAACTTTCTCAAAGTTTAAAGCATCAAGATCCAAATCCTCAGACAGTTCTTTTCAGAAAATAACTATAGTTTTTAAGGCTGTGTTCAAGTTCTCCCCTCTGAGAGAAGCTCCCTCAGAAGCTCCCTACTTTCAACAAAGTCAGAAAAGACTGGCTAAGGATTATACCTTAAGTTTCCTTTTAGGACTATTTTTTTCCTTTAAGACAAAACTTAATGACTTTCAGTGAAAAAAACATTAATTATGAAAGGTTAACTTGAAAATTTTTCTGAATATTTATGCCCTCTTTACTTGAGTTAATTTACTTGTTAGATGTTGCTTTTGTAAACCTGCAAAAGGAATGCAGGTATGTAGAAGAAGAATAACATAAAATTATGGCTTTTCTCAGCATATAAAAATGCACATTTTTAAATTTAGAGATTCCTGCCTTGATTACTGCCTTGATTTCATTCAAGAGAGTCCTTGTGTAACTACCACATGGACGTACTTTCCTCTAGCTGGTATGGCTTAATTATACTTTATTCTGCTGTAATTGCTCAGATGGAAGGGTAATTTCTGGCTTTGGGGAACACCCTAAAGGTTTCTGTCCATAACAGAGCTTATTCCTTTCTGGAGTAACAAGGAAGGGTACTTACTCCTACATGCATGATAATTTTGTGGGAGCCTGATCACACTGTGCAATGTGAGTCTTTTGTTTGTTCACAACCAGAAAGTCCAGTTAGTTTCCGTAAACCAGTAAGAGCTGTGACAGATAGGATTATGCTACAGAACAGTGTTGGAAATTGTCTCTTTGGCAGACAGAAACTGTTTGGAAGATTTTCTTGGTGCCTATACCCCCCCTTTCTTCCCTCCGCTCAAAGTAGATGAGTTTCCCATTCACTTGGACGAGAATCAGAATCCAAGAGATGAAAAGCCAAAGGATGCAACATTTCTCCCATCTGGGAATGTGCAGAAAAGGAATATTCTCTGAGTTACTTTTTCATTTTTTCCAATTACCTGCTCTCTTTGAAGGATGCTTAACCAACTTGTTATGTGATTTCTTAACTTGGCGCATTGTCTGCTCTACTCCATTAAAAAAATCCTTCTGGATTTATGTACATCACACACTGAGTTCCCCTTATAGGAGCTCTCATCAAATGCTTTGCATGACTTTTCAAGGCATCCTTGAGATTTAAAGGCACCCTCAAGAACTGCCGAACTTCTCTTCCCTAAAGATTTAATGCCAAAGTGCTACAGAAAAAGTGCAGCAAAGTGGCTTTGTGCAAAAGATAGCACAGAAACAATAACAAAATGCTCATGCAATAGAGGAATAGATAAGTAACACCAGCCCCATGAAACTCTACTCTTTTGTCTTTCTAACACACAAATTTGGATAAGGATTCCACACATCCCAAACACATCCATAGCTGCCAGTGCAGAGTGCAAGGACTGCTGCTGTGTGGCATCCAGGGCTACAGCTGGTGAGGAATTTAGCAACAAAACAAGTTTTCACTGGAAAATGCCAATTCATCAGAACTGAAATTCTTCAGGGAAACATATTGTATTCAATGAACTTCCAACATAGCACTGGCAAGGCTCCAGGCTGGTTTCCTTCCAGCTCGCCTGGTGGGCTGCCTGGAAGCCTGAATGATCAGGGTATGAAACTCCAGGACTGCCCTGCCATACACATTGCCCTGTAGCCAGGGACCACAAGAATTCCTGAAGCTTTGGGCTTCCCTGTTTTATCTAAGCCTCAATTCCCAGCTCTCCAAAAGGAAAACAAAAATCCATGGGAATGCTGGCTGAGCTGTAAGCATCAGACCCTGCATTTCCCAGCCCAATTTTACTTTGAATTATACTTCTAGTGCAGCAGTTTTGCTTATTTTTCATTACCTCCCCCCTCTCTTTTTTCACCCTGCACTGGGAAAGCATATATTTTTAAAAATCCATATTTCCTTCTGAAACAGAAATTTCTCCAGTTTTTTCCCCTGGCACTCAGAACTTCCTGTGGAACAAAATGTTTGCCTTTAAACCAGCTCTACTCAGCACATTCTTCCTCTCTACAGACTCTCTATTGCTTGTCCTCTCCTAGCAAAATGGACCCAGGTCATTCTGCTCTTTCTCAGGCATTATGTGCTAAGGAAAGGCCCATCATGCTGTATTCAGCAAGAGAAACCTGGCTCTGCTCTGTTAAGGGGAGGAATTATTTAGGCTATAATTTGCAGTTATTACACACTGTTTGGTATGTTGTCATGTGCCATGTTTGCACCTCCTCTGCCAACACATGGACAAGGATGTGTGTAATCATTTATTAGGCTTGCACCAGAAACAAATGGAATAGCAGCAGGATTAGCTGTCATTCATCTTCAGTTGAAAACCTTTCCTTGGCCTGTGGTTGGCTAATGAAATCCACATCGCCTGAATTCATGGTGTTCAGCTGGCTACAAAGAAAAACCCCCAAGATGCTTCTAATTAGAAACTGTGGGCAACGGTCAACTTGTGTGCATTTTACAGCCACAAAAATCTGCATTGCCACTTTGAGGAATAAGCTCAGAGCCGGGATCCACATTATGCAGACTCACTTTTCCAGAGGAGAGGTGTCTAAATTCTCAGCTCAACAGTGGGTGCTAGTGTGCCCCTTGAAAAAAAATTATGCTAGATAATGAGTATGGCTATGCGTCACACCTGTGACCATATCACTCCATAAGAAAGACTGGTTTCACTGCTTTCACCTGGCATTGAATTGAGTTAACAGTAAAGAGCATTCTCACTGAAACAGTACTTTACTGTGTAAGTGAAATCTCTCAGGACTACAGTAGTACCTAACACATGCTAAAATTTGTGTAGAAAGCACAAATAAGATGGCACTGAACAGTAAATTAGGCCTTGCTTTTCAAACCAGTGCCTCCATTTTACTGGATTGTTCCAGTGAAATATTTCCATAATTCTACAACTTAAACTCATTCCAACTATCTATAGCTATGAATTTATATAATTGATCACCTTAACAGATATGTTGCTGGAACTTTGAAAAACATTAATTTTATGTTTAAGAACTGATATCCTCTCTGGTCTTATCTGTAAGACAAATAATACCGTGTATTGAGTTTGTATGGCAAGATTTTGGAAGCAGAGAGCTACAGGGGTGGCTTCTGTGAGAAGCTGCCAGAAACTTCCCCCATGTCCAATGGAGCCAATTGCAGCTGGCTCCAAGATGGACCAATTCCAGCTGGCTCCAAGATGGGCTTGGCCTTGGCAACAGTGGTGGCACCTCGGGGATAACATATTTAAGAAAGGGGAGAAAAGCCCTTTGCAACTGCTGTCAGAAAGAGGAGGGAGAGTGTAAGATAAACAGTTCTGCAGTCAGTGGAGAAGAAGGAAGAGGAGGTACTGGAGCAGATATTCCCCTTCAGCTCAGAGTGCAGATCATGGTGAGGCAAGGCTGCTCCCCTGTAGCCCATGGAAGTCCATGCTGGAGCAGAGTTCTACCTGGAGCCCTGGAGTAGATGCATGCCTCCAGGAGACCGTGATCCTGTGGGAAGCCCATCCTGGAGCCATGAAGAGAGAAGGCCACCCTAGACCATATTTGCTAGCTGGACTTGTGACCTCATGGAGCATCCATGTTGGAGACTGCTCCTGAAGTGCTGTGCCCTGTGGAAAGGACCTGCATTTTTGAAGTTCGTGAAGAAATGTAGCCCATGGAAGGGACTCACATTGGAGAACTTTGCAGAGAACTGTCTCCTGCGGAAGGTAGCCCATGCTGGAGCAAGGAATGAGTGTGAGGAGTCCTCCTCCTGAGGAGGAAGAACTGATAGATAAAAAATGTGATGGACTGACTGCAAATCCCATTCCCAATCCCCCTTACACCCCTCGGGGCAGGAGGTAGAGAGAATCCGGAGTCAAGTTAAGCTTGTGAAGAAGGGGATTTGGAGTATGGAGGGTTTTAAAAGATTTTATTTCATTTCTCATGTGGACACACACATTTAGAGAGCTAGGGAATTACAGCTTGGAAATTCTTTTCAGGCCTGGATTTTTCCTGACTCTCAGGTCCATTCCCAGGCTGACAAGCTGACTACAGCTTCAGTTAGGGAGGAAGGTGATAATATGGTGAAAAACAGAGTGGAATTCATAATAAAGATTAACACCTGGTGTCTTTCCCGTGGGATACATCCTGAGGTACTGTCCCAAGGATGTTTTTCCCAATTGTCCAATGAACTACTGTCCTGTCCTAGCTGCAAGTAACATGCTTTAAATACAGGTTGTCCATACAATAAAGTTGGCCTTTTTTCCCCAAAAGAGGTCCGTGTGTGTTGCTGTCTTTTCTCTCTCTTTGCAGCGCAGTAACCACATTCTCATTATCCTACCCTAATATTATTGGCCATAAATTAATCTAATTTCCCCAAGCTGAGTCTATTTTTTCCCATGATGGTAATTGCTTCTTATCTTGAACCGCAAGTCTTCCACTATATTTTCTCTTCTCTGTCCAGGTGAGGAGGGGAGTGATACAGTGGTTTTGGTGGGCATGTTTGGTTGATGTCCAGCCAGGGTCAACCCACCATACTCTCCATAAGCCACTTTTAAGTTACGGGAAGTGAAAGCCATAGCTCATTTGTCTATTTGGGCAGCTAATTGTCAGCCAAAGAATGAAACACAGTTTAGCAATATTCTGCAGACTTCAAACTCATAGTTGGGATTTCTGTCTGCTTGTGGGCTGCAGGAATTTTGAAAGCATTGTGGGTTTCTCTGGTCTCTAAAACATTATCATGATATTTATTACTGCTATCATGCTTTCTTACTAAATACTGTTCATGTTGAACTTCAGAAGTTCTTCAGAGAGAAGGAAGATACACACATAAACACATACACAGATACACACATACACTTGTCCTACCTGCTTTAGTTGTCACTTTCAGCAAATAACCATCCAAATCGACCTGAAATTGTGGTGTCTCGCAAGGCAGTGAAATTCGGGTTCCATTCCACTTCACTGTGAGGTGCTGCTGGAGGCTAATTGTACTTCTGCCCAACACAAGCTCCACTGACTTTGTCCAGGAGAAAGAACGGGTCCGACGGGCATCATTTTTTACCAGCACCTGAAAGGGTGAGGCAGAGGAGGAGCAGTCTTTCGTCAAAACGTACTGACATGTTCCCTGAAAGTTAAATGTCCGTCCATCAAAAGTGTTGTAGTGAGGATCTCCAAATACAGTGCAAACTCCAGGCTCTGCAGGTGAGTGAGAAACAAAAGCACCATATCAGGATCAATCAAAGTTGGAAAAAAACAGTTGATAAGAATTTAGAGATGCTGCTCTCACCTAATCTATCTGCTCCACAGGGTAGATTTTGACTGGCGCCCACTGGGATTAAATATATCTTTGAAAAACAATAGCTTCATTGCTTTAGAATTCTTTCCCAAAGTGGCTGGTAATCAAAGGCCAGTTCATCCCTGGGGCAGCGTAGGAAGGCTAACCTGTAGCTTTGTCCTTTAAAAAGTACAGTTTAGGTTATTACAATGCCTGTGAACTTTTTCAAATTTCAGTGACTCCCTGAAATTAAAAACCATCAGATCACTTTAGAAGGAGCTCGTTCAGTTCACATTTTACACATATACACTTATAAATACTGTACATTTATAAACCAGGTGTGTTTACATATTTTTTCCTCAAAATACCTGTAGAACCAGCATCTTTATTCAGTGTTACAAGCTATTATATATGTTGTTTATACACAACTGACTCGTAGTAGTCATTGATGTCATGCTGCTGACTAAAAGTCAGTAGTACGTGACTAACATGATGCAATGACTGCCAAAGAGCATGGTGTCTCTACCAATCATTTGTGCAATTACAAATGGATGGAGATCTCTTATGGATGTTTGAAGCCATACGCTGGTCAGAGAAGTCACAACCCAAAGACAGAGCATTGCTATATTCATAGCAATGATGCTGAGTTACCCTGCAGCTACCCAGCAACTGATTGAATTGCCTCACAACCAAAGACAGCAGCAAACACATTTGCCTTGCAGCCTTCTGGTATAACAATAGGTTCTAACCACATTGCTGCTGTTCCTGGAAGAATGAGTCTCAAGGCAGAGAAATGCACAATGCTCTTACCAGCTGTACACCCATGGGCTAAGGCTGCTTTTGAAAGATGATGTCTGTTTAACTAACAATAGCTTGCCTGAAAAACCAGCTTTAAGAAAGCCAAATTCAAATCCACACAAAAGAAGGAAACATGAATGTTATGGAAAAGGGGAAAAGAATACAGTTCTAACTACACAATACACCTTTCCCAATAGTGTTTTTATGAAAACAAGGAAATTGTCAACAACAACAAAAAATCAGCCAAACATCAGTGAAGATTCTAGAGGAAAGATCTGATTTTTCTCTGTTTCTAAATGCCAAGAATGTGCACTTTACACGTTTTTAACCAACCTATTGGGAGGAGGAGGATAATTCTTCATCTAAGCAAGTGACTAAGAGGCATGACGTGAGAGGAACAAACATAGAGATGTGCAAGTAAAATTGATAGTATTAATGGGATCCAAAGGAAATATTTATTTTTAATTTCTAATGTGTTATGCAGAGCAATATTGTTTTATGTCATGTTACATCATGTCACGTCATACGTCAATTTGAAGCCATGCAGTTAAAAATGTATTTTGGACTGGATAACTGAAGGTCTGATCCAAATTTTGCTGTTTTCTTTAATACCAAGGAAATGGAGGAGGGAAAATCCATCTAAAAACAGTTTGAATAATTGATTCTCTGTTATCAATGTGTAAAATATTCTTGAAACGTTTGCTAAAATTGTGGGGTTTAAAAATAAATTCACATCCTGCAAGAGTGTGTGTGATAACTTAGGCACTGCCAGTAAGGAAAACTGGTTGGCCTAGAAATAAACCTTAAATACCAGGTGTAACAAGACTGCAAAAGACCGTCAATATGAAAATAATTCCTGCCATTTTTAGCTTTTGGGTTGTTATTTATTTCCTTTTGGGAGAGTTTCTATCACATTATATTTTATGGTTTGCTTCTTTTTCTTTTCTTTTTCCTTTTTTTTTTTTCTTCTTTTATTTTTTTTCTTTTTTCTTTTCCTTTTCCCTTCTGAAACAAACCAGTCTTTTTACTTGGCAATTTTTTGAAATCTATTGGAAGCACTGATCTCTAGTTAGGATTGTGTGTGACTTGCTTCTCTGTTGCAGAATAATAGATGAAGAGATGCTGCTGCATCACCAAAGTTATGTTCCCCAACCCTGGAGTATGAATTTTGCTAGCTTATGATAACAAGGCGTAGGGTCACAGGTGTAGATTTTTCCCTTTTTTCTCTACAGTAAATTGTTCCCAGCTTATTGCCAACATTCTATGTGTCAGCTGTCTAAGTCAGAGCTAGAGAAGGGCGATTCTATACAATATTTCCCCCTGAGATCTCCCACACTCCAACTACTTTCAGATCAGGGACTTATCTGAGCTAGACATGGTTTCTTTTAATTTAGTAACCTTTGATAGAAATATTTTCTGTGAACTTTCCCAGTCCAAAAATATTTTTAGTGTCTACAACATCCTTGGGCAAAGGAAAGGAAGAATCATTGTCTCTTCCTCATTTTGAACTTGGCATTCATGATCTTTGGTGTCTTCTTTTGCTCATCTAGACATGCACATGAATGCAAATTTACCCATTCCCTCTCTATCCTTGAAAAACACAGATTTTTCAAAATAGGGCCCCAGAGCTATGTTCAGGAGGCTATGATTTTCAAAACACCTCAGGCACTCAACTCTGATTAAACATTATTGAGAGTTGGATGCAAACACCTCTTTTGGAAAACCTGCACGTTGCTCTCAAATCAATATTCAGACCTTCTGGCATTCATAAAAGCATTTGGAAGCTTAGCAGTTTTCACATTTGTTTTTTAAGCAATTAAATACGGGCTTCACACTTTTACATTTGACTGAAATATTAAACTACATGTGTGATTAATGCAGTTTGCTCAGCTCTCACCTAAGGCTCTACAGCTTACTTGCAAACTAATAATAGTATTTAGGTGCTAAAAGTGAGTACTATAGAACTGTTGGCATGTTTTCCTTGAATTTTTAAATCATGCTCCCAATTCAAATGAAATAGTGACTTTCATTAGAAAAGGTGGTGTTTTTGAAAACATATGTAGCTGTAAAAAAAGGAAGCTAAAAAAGCAACAGCATGGAAAAGAACACATTAGCATTTCCTAAATTTCAACATACTCTCATAAAGAAAAAAAAATCACAACCTGTTTGGCCAATGCAGAGGGATAAAAGTCTGAATGACCAGTCATTTCTAGTAAGTAATACACTGAGTACAGGTAAGAACCACTTATTAAACTAAGTGGTTGCCAAAAAGTACCTTTCTGCCTTCCATCCAGTGCCTCCATTCCCCCAGACAGTATTTAGCCTTTTTAGAAAGGCAAAATACATATACTGCATGGTGGAGGCCAGACAGACAGTCAGCACACACATCCTGATCAGCCGAGAGCACAAGCATATTGGCTGGGCAATTAGCACACTTGTAGCTCCAGACCAGCCACAGGATATATTGTCTCTAGCTGGGTTTATTATTTGTTGGGATATAAAGGAAATGGGACACAAATCCATAGGAAACCAGGCTCTGTTAGCTCTGGTGCTCAAGGAATAGCTTGTTTTGTTTTTTCAGGATATCAGAGCAGTCAACTGAAGTCCAAGATGTCCAGATGTCTGGCCACACTCTGCTGGGCTTGTAGGTAGTTTAGGATGACCAAGAAAAATATACTTTAAATTATAACTAAAATTGGTTTGGACACTTTCTAAGTAAGTAGAGAGAGGAAAAAACCCACAAATTTACCAGTGAAGGCTGTTATGGTTGCAGATCTATAATTCAAAAATATCTCAGCTTTTTAAAAATAAAATGAAACTTTGGATGTAATTAGCCCATATGCTGAATTAAGCCCAAAATCAAACAGAACACATTATTAACTTCAAAAAATTAGCTATAGAACACGCATAATAGAATTTCATTAGGCTTTCTGTAAAAAATGCTTAGCCATAGAGGACTTTCCTCATAACTGCTGCATACTGCAGCTTGCTAGAATACACATTACAAGGTGTGGTGTCAAAAATTCCACAGAAGTCTTTATGGTCTATTTCAAAAATAAAATAACTATTCCAATTTGTCCAAATACATGTTTATACAGTAGACTTTCACAGATGAAATGGAAGATAAAATGAACAGTATTCCAATATGAATAAGCAATTGCAGTCTTTCTGTTGCTGTATTTCTTCATGGAAAGGAAAGAACAGAAAAAACAGGGACATATGTGGTCCTTTAGATCCACTTCCTTCTCTCACGGGTACCCGCAATGCATAAACTCACTTTGTTTCTTTTTCTGTTCTTTGAAAGTCAGTGCTTTTTTCAGTAATTCTATAAAAACACATAAAAAGATTGCAGGAGCAATTGGAAGTACCAACCTCTTACTCCTAAGGTGGTTCCAAATGTCCTTGAATTTGGTTTAGCTCTGTTGATCATTTTGTCAATTAAAAAAGCTGTGAAATTATTTGTGGTAAATGAAATTTTCTGTCCCAAAAGCAGCCTTTACTGCAAGATTAATCATGTGTACTGTACACGTAAACCTAGATTACTGCAGTCCACTTTGAAATAATTTCATCCACAAAATCTCACAACGACTGGTGTAAGGTTGTGCTAGGACTATTATTAATGATTCAAGTATATCTACGTGATTTTAGTAACAAGTTTTCATCCTGTGTACTATAATTTCAGCAAGGCCTATGAATTCTTCTTTGTCAAGAACAAAGATCTTACTTCCACTGCACGTTCCTATCTTTGTCTGAAGTTGAGAGCAGTCTGTCAACGTTATTTGAACTCAAATTTAGTTTTTTCTTATTTTTAATATGAAAATTACCTTGGTCTAACATAGGATTGCTAATTTATGGAATCGACGTCAGTGGTGATTTTTCTAAATCAAGCCCAAAAGAGTACATTTCATTACATTTTTTACAGCAGCATAAACTAAACTGTTGAATTTTCCACTGTGTTTAATTAGTGATAACTGTACGCCAGCCATGGAGCTTAAAAAGCAACATGCCAAAACTAACTGTATTTAACTTCAGCAACAATAGACAAAAGAGACTCTCCAGCCCTTTAGGAGACAAGGTACTTTTTCTCTTTGCAACAAACTGCTTTGAAAATAATAATTTGGGTTTTTTTTTTTTCAGTTTAAAGTGTATCCTTTCATAACTTGACTGGTTTTGACCCACTTCATAGAAATTGGCTGCATTTAAACTGTACTCAAAGCTCTCCCGTGTACAGTATGTTCTTGTACCTCTCTATGTTGTTTTTACTTTGGAAAATTAATATCTGAT